GTTCTCTGACATATTGTCTGGCTCCTTCAACCGGCCCAGGTACTTGTGGGCCTCCCTCATGTCTGGACCAGTGCACTAGCTCTGCACAGAGGCTCTGTAGCCCACTAGGCCACAGTCCCCAAGTCACAACGATTTCAGGAAGGCTGCCAGGGCTCAGTTGGGCTTGGCATTTCCCCTCGTTCCAGCAACTCCTGGCTCTTATTTAGTTTTAAATTAAATAAAAATTGCAGCACATGGATTTGAATTAAAACACGAGGCCTGATCTTTGTAATACGCACCACATCAATGGGAAGGCTGATTTGTGCGGAGCACATCTCCTGTAATTTAAACCACAGAGCTCTGCCTCTTTGGTTTCAAGGGCGGGGCAGCTCACTGCTGGCTTTAACCAGGGCTGTGCTCAGAGTCACAGGAGCAGTTTCAGGGGAGCTTAGCGTTCCTCGTAAGCCCTTTGTGCTGGGTGTCACACGATACACCAGAGCAGTTCCGAGCTCCTGGCCTTGAATTTAAAGAAGGTCTTAAAAATGTCTCAGGGCAAACTTCTCCCATTGACTGTTAACTGCAACCTAGCTACCAAAAACAGAATTTGCATCATTGAAAGATTCTCAAGACAGAGAAGACAGCGAGACCACTACTCCTGAGCTCGAGACTGGTCCTCGTTTTCAGGTTCCAAGGCTTCGTGTGAGTAGATTACTGGTTCATACAAAACCAATCAAGTAGCGTCTGTGCTAGATGAGAAATTCGATCTGGGCCCTGACAGTCAGTTCACTAAGTTTAATTGGCTTTAGAGACAAAAGGTGGAGGTGGAGGTAGAGGGTGGGGGCGGTGACAGTGGGTTATCCATGAACGATGTGAGCTTTCCTCAAGACATTGCGGAACCAGAGCCATCTGCACAGCTCCCAGCCCTTGTTTCAAGGCTCACTGCAGCCCCGCTCACAGCCAGGGGATGAGTCATGAGCAGCTGCGACCCTTCATAAACTTTCACCTCCAGGTGCATCCAGATTGGGAGACAGATCTGATTCAGGTTTTGTGGGGCCTGAAAATTTTACACATTTTGGGGGTCCTTTTTAAGAAAAATAATACAAAAAATATCTTTTACAAACTTTACATGCCATCAGAACTCATCGCTAGGGCTTCTCCTAGGATTTTGGAAGGTGCCCGTGTAAACGAGGGAGCCTAAAGCTTAAGTGTCATTAACTTTACAAGTGAATTCTCTTACCGTTGGAAGGCATCGCCAGCTCATCTCCTGCCCAGTGCTAAAGGGGCATGCATAAGGTGAGGGTAAAGATGATGGAAAAGGATTGATGAAACAGTAGGTGTAATTGACTAAGATAGAAAGTTCTGGTTCTTATTCGACTGGCCTTTGAACCACTCGAGGTGCACAGTCTTAGTGAACAGAGCTTGGGCAGAAGTCAAGCACTCTCTCTTAGGCTGCAAGCTCCTTAAGGGCAGGGCTCCCATCTTTGTCTTTTTCACCCAAATACCTACCCAAGAGAGTGTGTTGATGAATGTCTGCTGAATGAATAGCTGGATGACTGCATGAGTGAATGTGTAAATTCATACTCCCATTTTAGATAGAGGGTCATTGTTGTTTACCTTCTCCAAAGGATTCTGAAACATGTTTTGAGCTATGTAAAGACAGGCTCCATCTAAATTTTTTGTGAAGCATGGACAACTAGATTCTGCCAGAGGGCTACTAAGGTCATGCTTCTTATTGGATGACCAAAGCCACTCCAAGCATAATTAAGAACATTAGACTATAATATACAGCAAATATTCTTTAAAGGGAATGGCTCTTTCCTCTGGTTTCAGCAGGTGTTGTTCTCACACACCCAGAAAAGGCTAGACAGAGTATTATTTGATTTGCTTCCTCATTTCCTCCTCTGGCTTATGTTACCTTGAGTTGATCTTTTAAATACTTTATTTCCTGGCAAATACATTTAAAATTTTAGGTCCTGAGTGAAGTATAACATATCAGAATTCATGCAGAAAATCAAAGCTGAGTCTGGAACATTCCCTTTGAAGAAAAACACTGCCCTGCACGTGGGGAACGCATCTGATACTTCCCACACTCTGATGGGGGTCAGTGGGTGCAGTGGAGAACCTGAACCTATGGCTGGGAGGGGTGTTGCCCACGTGTTTGGTTCGTTGTGAACTGGATGGGGCTGGGTTTGCATGAGGGACGTGTTAGACATGCTGGGGTTGGCCTGGGTTAGGAAGGGCATGGTTTTGATTTAACTTTTGTTCTCACGATCTTGAGGGCAAATCTGGAGTAGTGTCATGTAGATGAGAAGGCTTGGGTTCAAGTCTCAATTTCACCTCTGACTGGTTGTGAGATTGTGAGCAAGATACCCAACATCTCCATGCCTCTCTCTCTCTTTTTTTAATTTGCAAAAAAAGACCAATAATGCTTATCCTCCATTGCCCTGGCTATGAGTCTCAAAACATTGCTCAAGAAAGTTCTTAGAGAGGTATAAAGTGACTTTTGAGATGAACGTCTACGATTCCATTACATAATCGTATAACATTGCAAGCTTCCCATTTTAAAGCAAAGAAGAAAGATTTCAGCGGAAAATCCAATGTCCTTTCCATCACACCAGGAACTATCATCCATATTATAAACTCATAATAAAAATGGCATTAAAAATATAAGGAAGTAACCCAATCTCTTTGTTGTTCAGATGCATTTCAATGTGAAAAGTGTACAAAACAAAAATCCAGTCAAATCTATAAAAAGAAGCCCACTTTGGCCCAAGATGACTGCAATCCTTGAAGTCAAGCTGCTGACCTGCTACCAGTGAGTGGCTCGATGTCTGGCAGATGGCATGAATGCTCAATGTGGAAGAGAAGGGGTGTTGTTCTCTGGACATCATAGTCAAATATGCAAGTGTCCTGAAAATTTATCATGATGGACTCTTTAATGATAAGAACTAGCTGATTGCCTTTCCCTTGAGTTAAACTAATAATGTCAACCTCATTAATATGACGGCGTTATTGTTTTCATTCTAGAAGGTGAAGATGCTTTACAATGAGGCCAGATAGTAAATATTTTAGGTTTTGTAGACTATATGGTTCCAACAACTCACCTCTGCCCTGCAGTGTGAAAGCAGTCACAGACAACATAGGGGTGCAGCTGTGTTCTGACTCTATTTACAGAATTGGCGTGGGCTAGATTTGGTTCAAAGGCCATAGTTTTCTGACTCCCAGCTTTAGAATATCATAAATATACCACCAAATTCTGGACCTCCTCTTGTCCCCTGGCAGTACACACCATGCTGCTGGCCTCAGTTTTTAATGCAGCTCCAATCCTACAGCTGAGCAAACGCAGATGGCGCCAAACCCAGGAGAAACCATCAAGCCAGCTGGCCACGTGGGCAGACACTTCACATCCCCACACGGCTATCTAAAACCTTACACTTTCCCCAATGTGTTCTTTGTAAAATAAAGCATTGTTTAAAACATAATATCCAAGTTTTAAAAATAAGCTACTATTCTCCAGAGTAAAACGACTGATGTTTTGATGGGAAAGAAGGAAAAGTGCTTTCCAACTCCTAGAAATGCTTTGCAAAAATGCAACCGAGTGCTGACTTCCTATTTGTAAGTCATCAAACTTGCTTTTTGCTTTCTTATAATAGAAGTGAACTCATTACCAAAGTTCATTGCTGTTCTAAGGTCACCTATCAGTCCAGCTCCCCCTCTTTATGACTCTCCCCCACTCTAGCATGCTGGAAACGGAGGCAAGCGCTGTCAGAGGACCACAGAGGGCAGTTTTTAACTCTGGATCTCCATTTGCCTGTACTCGGTTAAACGACTCATTCTCGGCCTGGGAGCTGCCACCATTTACTGCATGGAACAGGTTCAAGTGGAACCAAAGGTGAAATAAGCCTTTTGTTCCTATCACTACTTCTGAAAATGTGGATTTTGAGACACCTGGTTGGGTTTGAGGTGCAGTTTCACAGACCTGGATTCAGGAATGCTTTTGTTCTTGGCCAAGTCACTTAACCTCTTTGAGATCCAGACCCTCAGTGTCTCCACCTAAAAAATGGGTTAATATCTGCTTCATAGGATTGATTTACAGTGAGTGGCACATAGTAGATATTCAATAAATGATAGTATGTCTCACTTTTTCTACACCCCCCTGTATATCTGAAATTTTGTTTGCTATACTCTGATAGCAGTTATTCTGTTTGTTTGTCCTACTCTCACGGATCTAATGACCTGCCTCTGAGTGTAATGTGAGTGTATACACACACAGCAGGCACATAAGGGGAAAGGTCTCCAAATGAGGAAAGACGATTGTAGGAAAACTGATTGAACAGAAAGAAACCACAATCCCCAGAGTAGTTCAGGGTCAGTAAATTCATTTGGTTTATTTTCTTTTGGAAAAAGGAGCCTTCTGGTATAGTTTAAGCACGTAGAATGTAAGCTTCTTAAGAGCAGAGACCGAGTCGGTTTCATCCACCAGTGCCTAAAACTGCTCTTGGCAGTTGGTGAGTGTGCAATTAAAACCAAAATTGCATGCTTGCTTCCAAAATTCTAATAACTGAGCATACTTAGATATGATTTGCTTTTATATTAACCATGAGAACTTCCTGGGGCTTTACACAGGGAAGGAACGGGGATTCTAAGGAGAAGGAGCCTTAACATTGGACAAGCATGGCACCATTTACACACTATTTACCTTCAAGTATGCAATTTGTGAAATGATCAAGCAAAGCGCCCGATAGGAAAACTGATCTGAGATAGGCCAGGGGAAAGTCCAAGACCTATTCTAGGCCAGTTTCTGGCAGATACTGTACCTTGAGGCTATCCCAACAATCATCCCTTTAACTTCACTTTCCTTCTGGAAAGAGAAATCCCACTTTTGCTACCATTGTGCTAGGTACAATGGGGAAAAGAGAAGTTGTGCTTTCCCAGCAGGTATTTAAGTCTCCTCATGGTTTTCTGTGTCCTGTGAAAGTGTGAGAGGACAATAGCACTAGCTCATGGTATAGTTCACATACCTGAAAACATCATCATGTGCTGAAAGCTCCAGGGGATCTTCTGTTTTCGGCCCACATTCAGGAGGAAGGAGAGGGGATATATGTTGCAGGCTCTGGCAACAAAAATTGCTAGCTGTAGATAAACACAGGGAAACATTGAGGAAAATGTTGCTGCAGTGAGGGTGCAAGTCCTTGAACTTTAAATATTATGTCCTTAACCTTCCCTATATTATGACCCAGAAAACAGGGATAAACATGGCAATACATGTGTGTCCAACTTGCTTCCAAAATTCATCTTTCAATGTCAATTCCTTTCCAGAAATAATAGAGAACTCTGCCTTTCTTTGAATATATACTTAGTTTAAAATTGTTAACCCAATACCATTTCAATCATTATAAATTTTCTCATCACATTTATGTTGCTGATGACTGACTCTATGCTCAATTCTGCTGCAAAATGTGAGGCAGAGACCGTTCAGAGGCTGCTGTGTTATCTCCTCAAGCAGCACTTTAGAAAGAATAAATGTACTTCTGCTCATGATTACCATCTCACTTGCCATCAGTTTATACTCCCTGTATCTAGCAAGCTTCACTTATTTTTTTCTCCTAGTGGATTTAATTTTGAGAGGAATTGCTTGTCTAAATGTATAATACAACTGCTGCTTTAAGAGGCATTTTACTAAAATCCAAGCTTTACTGGTTAAAATCTATGAAAATACTGGTGGTAGTCATCTCTCCCCTTTTGCTGTCTTGGACTGCTTCCCTGATAGTCTGTCTATTCTAGTTTGTCCTCAAATGGGATGAAGTGATTTGGGAAGAGGGAGCTTCCTTCTAAGATCCAGATTTTGGGTGAAATTTGAATCCAGCTGAATGCTCAGTGCAAAGAGAACAAGAGGTGCAGGCAGGTGCTGAGCTGGAAGAGGGCGTACGGAGAGGGCCCAGCTCTCCTGGCTGTTAAGATCACGTGCCTGTGATCTGAGTGGACACCTGCCTTTTCCAAGTGGAAAGGTCAACAGCTGCTGACTGTCCTTGGGGGCATCCACAGTGGCTCAGTAGCCTTTCAGACAGATATCCATTCCCACTGGGAATGCCTGTACCCCAGGCCCACAGCTGGAAATGTCCTCTGCATTAAAAGAGAGGCCTAGATTTCATCTGTCCTCTTACTTACAGGAAAGGGGCTATCTCATTATAATAAACTTACATGTGCACAATGCTTAAGACATTGAAAGCACACCCAGCAGGCTAATTTCATTTGATCTCTACTCTATCTATCCTATTTTCAAAGTCCTCACCAGAAAAAAGATTTTACCATTTTGTAATGAAAACATTTCTACAGCTTAATAATCCTGGCTGTCTTCTGCTACACCCTAATGCAGATTAAATATATTTCTCTATAAAGAATGGATTGACATAATTTTTATGTAAATAATAATTTAGTTAAACATATTTTGAACATTCAAAAAATTATAAATTCTTTTTTGAATTCAAAATTCATTCTCCTTTAGTTTTCCCCCTTTATTTGCCCAGTATTTTCCAAACTCCTTATCCTGAACCATAAGCATTTAAGAAAGGCCCCAGTTTCCTAGGATGCTTTTCTCTCCTAAGTAGAAATTACATATTAGCCTTGAATTTGAGCCTTGCAGTAAACCTGAGGAAATTACTTAAACAGTTTAACAGAATAATCAGTAAAAGTAAGTAGTTTGTTCTCTTCCCTCATCACCCCATATTCTGTATTTCAAAGGATACAAAGGCTCCAAGTATAAAAAGAACATTAAAGATATGATTCTGGAACGTGAACAGCGCCAGGCCCATGTAACAGAAGATGACGTTCTCAGCCAAGAAGTTCATGAATTCAAACAACTGAAAACAAAACAGAAACCAAAACTCATTAATTATGACTCAGGTTTGAGTCCACTTAATACCTTGTAACTGTATTTAGTCCCTGGATGGTCCTCCTTTATCATCCCTTTGGCCTTGTGTTCAGCCTCTGGAGGGGCGCAGGGGCCTCTGCCTATCCTGTCAGGCCAGCCAACTCGACCCTGGCTCTTTACCCAGTGACAGATGCTGCAGCCATGTCAACATCCCATCTTCCTTTCCAACTGCAAGGCTGCCAGAGATACCCCTGGGTAAGATTAACCAGCATGATCCTCCATGGAACAATTCCTATGAGGATGACAGAACATTCCCTGTCATAGAAACTGAAGCTATGTGATTTGCTTCAGGTGTGCTGGAGTGAATGATGCAAAGATTGGCCCCTCCTGCACATCACCCAGCGGGTGCACTGGAGTTCCCAGGCCCTGAAGAACTAAATTCAAAGGCGGCTTTAACTAAATTACCTTCCTGAGGCAGGCAGGAGGGACAAACCTGGAAAGCTTGGAAACTCAGAACAAGGATGAATGTCGATTATATTTCAACACCAGAATGATCACTATATTTCAAACCCTAGACAATGAGACTCATTAAATTGACTGATGTAGGTATATCCATTAAACGTCTACCATTCTAGCTGCTAAAAAGAAAATGATTAATCCCAGGGATCAGTTTATGCAGCAAGAACACAATAGATACATCAAATCCAGTCAGAGGAATGGAGTAATAACATACTATGCTGAGGGACGCTCCCAGAGTTATTCTTAGACCATTAACTAAACAATTTAAGTTGAACATGAAAAACATTCTCCAACTTCCCGATTAGAAGTGACAGGGAAAAGTGTCCAGGGGCTACAACGAAGGCAGATTTGGAAGAGACTTTAGTTTATGTTCCAGACTTTTCATTTGGGAGTTTCTGAAACTTCATTCCCAGACCTACATAAATCACCATGGGAGGTAAACATCTCTGGAGGCATTTCTCTAACTTTTTAAGGACTCATTATTTTTTCATGTAATGTATTTAGAGCCCCACAAATAATGCCCAATACCTGTTCACTGACAGTTGACAGAAAGAAAAGCAGAATCTTGTCAGAAACATTATTTAAAACCAGTAATAGAAAGAAAGGATTAAACAAGACGCAACTCCTTGGTACAAGATGGTCTTTCTGCAGCGGCAGAGATCATCAATTATCCTGAGCACACGTTTTACATTCTAGGCCAGCTCATCTAAACAAACACTGTCACCCAAATAACCCCGGAAAACCTGAAAACATGGGGGGACATACAGGGGATGGGCAACACTTTTCTACCTCATTAAATCTTTGCTTTCTCAAAAAGTGAGATTTGGCTACTGTCTTGATGTGCTCGGGCTTCCATAACGAAATACTACAGGCTGGGCAGCTTAAACGACAGAAATTTATTTCTCATAGCTCTGGAGTCTGGGAAGTCCAAGATCAAGGTGCTGGCTGATTTGGTTCTGGTGAGGGCCCCTTCCTCGTTTGCAAACAGCAGTCTACTTGCCATATGGCAGAGAGAGAGATCATCTCTCTTGCGTCTCTTTTTGTAAAGGCACCAATCCCATTCATGAGGGCTCCACCCTCAGGACCTAATTCCCTTCCAAACGCCTCACCTCCTAATACCATCAAATTGGGGGTTAGGGCTTCAAAGCATGAATTTGCGGGGAGACGGCACAAACATTCAGTCCATAGCAGCTATCCAGTTTTTAACATTAAGAAACGCATGCCAAGGTTAAATTCATAGGGCCTCTTCTCCTGTACCCATCCAAAGTATATTTTACTCTAGAGGGGACATTTTCCCATCTAGGATACAATCAGCCTCTTTTTGGTGGCTACACCCCAATTTCCCTCTGAGGTCCATCTCCTTCCCTACTCTCAGCCCACAAGTTGACACCTCCGTAGCTCAGACACGGAATATGTAATTTAGGACTAAAACACTCAAATCAATGTATTTCTCTAGCCAAAGCATTTGGTTCAGAAATAGATGCAACACATTAGGAGCCAGAGAGATATAATGAGGCCTTTGCAGGGAATGCTGGGACAAAGACCCGACGTTTCACTGTATGAGAAATCGGGTGCAGGCGAGGGAACTGCTGCTAGCCATCTTGTGATCACAGGGGACATGGCTGTCTGAGAGAGGAGCTGTGTCCTGATGACACTAGTTAATCTTTTGTATTCAATCCCTCCCAAAGCAAAATCTACTCTTAGACTTCTGAATTAAAGAGACTAAGAAATCATTTTTTGATTTGAAGTGGGGTTTCTATCATTTAAAACGATACATGCTCCTCTACAGCCCTGCTCCAGTTAAAAAAACCAAACAAAACAAAATACCTCTTTGACTCAATATAGATTATAAACAAAAGAGTGTATAGTCAACTTTTTTACTTTTTTCAGATAGTAAGTCTGTTACCCCTGCCCACCACCACCACCCAATTTTAATCTATAGCTCACCTTATAGGGAGAAGAAAAATATGTGGGAAAAGTCAGTTTTTTCTGTTGGTTGTTGAGATGTGATGGGCGTTTGTCCTATACGTTTTACATGGGGACCCGTGGTGTTAAATATTTGTTTTAGAGATTTGCTTCCTTTGGATGACCCAGCATTTTAACTTGATTTAGTCAGTCAGTTTACTGAAATCTAACACTGACCAAAATTATAAGTAACTGTTTGCAGAAAATGGTACAAAAGTTCTATTTTCCATTCGGGTCCATATTTGGACCCGCTCTTTGTTCCTACTGTTATCTATTCCTGTACCAATACCACACTCTTTTTAATTAACATAGATCCATAGTACACTGTAATATTTCATAGATCTAGACTGTTCCCATACTGTACCTTCTTCAGAATTTTTCTGGTTATTTTTACATGCTTAAAAATGTTTTTATTGAAGCTTAATCACTCAGAAAATTGTGTAAAATATACGTTTACAATTTAAGATTTAAAAAGGGGGATATTCCCAGCATCCCAAAATTATTCCTGTTCCCCTTCCCAGTTTTACCTTCACACCCCAATGTGACTACTATTAGCACTTCTAGCACCACAAATTAGCTTTCCTTGTTTTTCAGTTTCATATGAGTGGAATTGGACAATATGTTCTCTTTCATATTTGTCATCTTTTACTCAACATTATGTTTGTGAGATTCATGTTGTTGTATGTAGATGTCATTCATTTTTTTTTCATTATATTAATATATCACAATTTATTTATTCATTCTACTACTGACAGGCATTTGGGTTGTTTCCAGTTTGAGGCTATGATGAATTCTGTTGCTATAAATATATGTTTGGATTTCTGTAGAATTGTTGGGACATAGTGCCAACCAGTTTTCCAAAGTGGTGGTTCCGATTTGCACTCCCATCAGCAGTTCTAGTTGCTTCACAATTTGCCAGCACTTGGTTTTGTTGCTGTTTTTCAGATTCACACTTTTGCCTCTTGATGTTACCATTTGAATTTAGAAATCAGCTTGTTGATTTCCACGAAAATTACCTACTGGCATTTTAGTTGGAATTGCATTGAATTTATAGATAAATTTGGATAGAACGCACATCTTTACAGTATTGAAACTTTGAATCCGTGAACGTCATATATATCCTTATAACTAATTTGGTTTTCTTTTCAGATTTACTATCTCTCAGTAATTTCTGTATAAAGATTTTGCACATCTTTTATTAGATTTATTCCTAGATATTTGATGTTTTTTGTTGTTATTGTAAATGGTACCCTTTTCAAAGTTCATTTTCTAATTGTTTATTGCTAGATACACACATATAATTGCTTTTTAAAATAGATCTTGTATTCAGGGCCTTACTAAATTGATTTAATAATTATCGTAGTTTAGCAGAAGATTCTTTTGGATTTTCACAATCATGTTGTTTTCAAATAAGGATAGTTTTGTTTTTTATTTCCAGTCATTATACATTTTGCATCTTTTTCTTGTCTCATTACACTTGTGAGGACCTCCAGCACAGTCAGAATAGAAGTAGTGTTAGGGGCATCTTTGTCTTATTCCCAATCTCAAAGGAAAATCTTTCAATAGTTTTCTACTAAACTTATACAAACTCTTTAACAGATTAAAGAAGTTACCTTCTATTCCTAGTCTGCTAGAAACAGATATTTAAAACAAAAAAACAAGAATGTGTTGATTTTTATCAAATGTTTTTTCTTCACCTATTAAGATGACCATATGGTATTTTTTCTTTCATTCTTTTAATGTAGTTAATTACATTAATTGATTTTCAAATGCAAAAACAGTCTTGTGTTCCAGCAATAAACCCTACTTGGTCATGATGTATTATCCTTTTTTATACAACACTGGATTTAATTTGCTAATACTCTGTTTAGGATTTTTGTGTCTGTTATCATGGAAGACTGGCTTTTAATTCTCTTTTCTTGTGTAAGTCTTTACTAGGTTGTATTGTTAAAGTTATTCAAGTTTCAAAAAACAAGTTTCTGTTCTCTTCCTTAAATGCTTAGAAGAATTTTGGGCTTGGAATTTTCTTTGTAGGAAGATTTTTAATTACAGATACAATTATTCTAATACATATAGGATCAGTCAGATTTTCTATTTATTTATGTATAGTTTTAATGTTATGTTTGTTGTTCCATCTAAATTTTCATATTTACTGGTTGACAGTTGTTAATATCTTCAATACCTTAGTATTTATAGTTATGTCTTTCCCCTCTAACATTGGTTATTTGTTTCTTTTCTTCCTGATAAATCTTGTTAGAGAGTTATCAATTTTATGAGTGTTTCCAAGAGGCAACTTTGGCTTTGTTGATTTTTCTAAACAGTACTTTTTCCTCTCTATTTCATAATTTCTCTATCATCTTTATTATTTCCTAACTTCAACATACTTTAGTTTTTTTTTTTTTTAAAGACTTTATTTATTTATTTATTTTCCCCACAAAGCCCCAGTAGATAGTTGTATGTCATAGGTGCACATCCTTCTAGTTGCTGTATGTGGGACGTGGCCTC